TCCAGAGACTGTGACTTTTCATGTATAAGAAATAGGTATGCATATCTAGAGTAATCATCTATGAAAGATATAAAATATTGCTGACCATTCCAAGAAGGTGTAAGAAATTGCCCACAAATATCTGTATGTATCAACTTTAAGACGTCCATAGCTCTATACGCACCTAATTTCTTTGTTTTGGTCTGTTTACCTTTAACGCATTCAACACAAACATCAAAGTTTGTGAAGTCAATGGAATCCAAGATCCCATTTGACATAAGTTGTTCAACTCTATTTTTAGAGATGTGACCTAGGCGCCTGTGCCATAATGCTCCTGAGTTAATATTGTCAATTTTACGCTTAGTACCACATAATTTCGCATTAAAGGATTCACCATAGGAAGCTACAATATCAAGTAAATATAGATTATCATAAGCTAAAAGTGAATCAGTTCTAACAATATCTGAATTAAAAAACAACCTAACCATACGGTTTCTAAATTAACAGAAATAACCTAATTTATCCAAATAAGAAACTGAAACCAAATTTCGTCTAAACGACGTTACAACAAAAGTGTCTTTCAAATCCAAATAAAAACTAGTACACAATAATAATCTAAAATGCCCTATAGCTTCCACTTCCACCGATTTGCCATCTCCAACATATATCTATTTTTCAGAATCAATTGGCTTCTGATAGCTTAGGCAACCCTGCATTAAAACACTGATGTTAGTAGTAGCACCTGAATCTAACCACCAAGTGTTTCTAGGCACTAAAGTTAAATTGACCTTAGAATAGACTAAAATAAGAAACATATCTTTCCTTGCACGCCAAACATGATATTTGGTACATTTCTTCTTTACATGTCTACACTTAGTGCAAAAGAAACGGTTGTTACCCTGATTTTGTTTCTTTTGTGCTAGAACCTTAACAGTTTCATTCTTAAAGTCTTGTGTCATCTTTCTTTTGCCCTTGTCTTTAGAGCTACTCGCAAAATGGGCACTTTTTATCCTTTCTTGCTTCATTCTTTCCTCTTCTTGCACACAGTATGAAATGAGCTCATTAAGAGACCATTTCTCCTTCTGACAGTTATAAGAGATCTTAAACTGACTAAACTGTGAAGGTAGAGAAATCAACACTAAATGAATAAGCAAGTCTTCGGATAGCTCAAGCTTTTGTGCCCTTAATTTTGAAGTAATATTTGACATTCCCATAATGTATGCCCTTATATTTCCTTTGTCTTGATACTTCATGGAAATCAAGTTCTGAAGAAGAGTACTTGTTTCTGCCTTATCGCTTTTTGCAAAGCGCTTTTCAATTTCAGCAAGAAATTCTTTGGCACTTGTTATATCATCTGAAACAGTACCCATAAAGACCTCAGGAATGTTGCACTTAATGATCATAAGACTCATGCGATTTGAGTGATCTCACTTCTCATGAAGTTTTCTCTGTTCAGAGGTACTAGAATCTGTAAGAGAAGTGAGTTTCTCAATCCTTAATGCAAGGTCTAGATCCATGCAGCCAAGAACAATTTTCATGTTCTCTTTCCAGTCCTTAAAATTTGTACTATTAAGAACCAGAACTGAATTCAGATTAACAGATATAGAAGCAACAGCTGAAAAGAACAAAATAATTGTTCTTATTGTAATGCATTTAAATAATGGCATAATCCATCTCAAGATATCTAGTGCACCATTAATATCAAGTCTTTAGACAATGGTATTAATTGCTAGTGATATCCTTGTTGTAATGTTCAAACATTGATAATAAAAGCATATCAAATAACAGACCCATCTTTGGATATGATTTATCATTTACATGCAAAACCTCATAATTATCACACATTTAATATCACAGGTGCGTATGTAAACTAGTTAAATGGTAACTTTCCTTTGGGCCAATCACCACTCATATGAATAATTACACACATTAATATTTCTTATAAACAATCTACATAAGAGAAATGTTACTTTGGTGATTTTTTTTATTCAATTAGCTTATTTAAAATGTTAAACTTTTGTATAAAATATACAAATAATAACTAAAATTAGAATATTAATATACCAAATCCAAAAAAATATGTACTAAATTTGCCATCATGACGTAATATCAATAACTTGAATTCGTAACCAAATCCTTAATATACCAAATTCTCAAAAAAAATAAAAAATAAAAAAATACAATAATCAAACAACGTAATGTCATGCATCGCAATCAATAAAATCACAAACTAATATAATATTAATATAGAATTGGACTCTCGAACAGTGAAATTGCAATTCAAATTCAATAGGTCAAAAAATATGCCTTAAAAAAAATATGCATAAAAAAATATTCAATACGGCCTATAAGTCCGAATTTCAATATGCATAGAAAAATATGTCATGCATTGAAATTGCGATATTCAATATATGGACTATCATGGAAATCCAATCAAATCGAATCCATACGTCATATTCAAATTGAAGTATGACAGTGTTTGAATGAAACCTATCCCATCATTGAATTACAGTGCAAAAAAGAAACCCAAATGCACATCGTTACATTAAATATCAAACGGAAACCCAAATGCGTAGCTCTAACCATAAGATCAATTTGATAAATAATTATCACCATATATTACGACTCAGAATTATGAAAAATCAATAAATCTCAATTTGGAACCCTAATTTTAAAATTTCTAAAATTATACATAAATTAAGTATGAGTTGTTGTGATACTAATTGTTGGAATTTTCTATCAAACAATAATTATGCCTAACCACATATTATTATCCATATAGAATAAAAATTATAGCACAATCATAGATTTTCTTATAAACTCATACCCCAATTCATGATGAAAATAGAATGCGAAAGCATACTTAAATTCGCTATTGAGAATAATGAAAGTTATGAGATTGATGACGATTATTTGATCTTCCAAATGTATAGCACCTTAGGTTTGTTTTTGAGTTTCTCTTCTGATGAGAATAAAGAGAGAAAGAACTGAAATTTTACGTGTTGTAACTTGCTCTACAAATGGAGACCATAACCCTTGTCTTGATAATTGCCATCAGTTACCCTAAATTTGATAATTATAATTTGCCTCCTCATCAAATTATAATATCACTAATCATATATATACAATTAGCCTTTCATGATATATATGCCTTTAGCCATAAACTTTATATTGATTAGACCATTTTAATATTTTGACTAATAAAATAACGACCTTAACATATTTAATTATGCAATATATATATATATATATATATATATATATATATATATATATATATATATGACCCAAAATTGCTAACATACTCTTGTTGTACATCAATTGAGTCATTTTCTTTAACAACTAACAATGATACATTTTAAGGTTGCTCACTAGGTACTATATTACCCTAAAAGATGTCATGGCAAAGGCATTTTTTTTTTCTCTTGTAAGGTCTTTTTTATGTGTTTTGTTTTACCTTCCTTCACTGTATCTTTTTTTTTTTTCTTTCAACTACTACTATGACTACGTTCCTTTCTTTCACAACGTCTATTTTACCTTTTCCATTGCAGTACCCTTATTCTCCCTCTCTCTCTCTCCACAATTTTTGCATTCGTTTAACCAAAGATTTTATTTTTTCTCTCGAACATATCTTAACAAGTTCAAGTGCCTATTAACCTAAGTCTTATCCCTTAACCTGCTCTTTCTTTCTCTTTCCTATCAGACTTACCAAAAATTACTTTAAATCTAACATTTTTGCCAATTCACTCCACACTTCCTTAGACTCCTCTAAACCACTCAACCTCTCCTATCTATTTCAGACATTCATTGAAACCTTCAAACTAAAGGCTTAGATTTGGTGATTCATGTGAAAAAACTCAAAATAGAAAAATTTTGCAGCATGAATGTCATTGTAGCAGTGACCAAAGAAAAGGAAAAAGATGTCATAGAAGAAGATGAAACAAAATATGAGACGTGATTCTTATTATCCAAAACTTTTAAAAATCAGAAACAAAAATAAACTATTTTTAAAATATTCTAAAATCACATCATGCAATAAGGCAAATTCTAAGTAAGTTAATCATGTGTTAAAATGACTTTTGAATTAGCATTTTGTCAATTGAATTATTAATTTCAAAAGTATAATTTTCAATAATCATTTATGTAGTTAAAATTATGAAAAATTACATTTCTTTCTAGAAAAAAAGCTTAAATTAATTGAATTTTTTTAAAAAAATATACGTTTCTTTTTTTGTTTATGATATGGTCACTTTAAAACTTGATTTTATTTTTTATAAAAAAATCTTATTATTTATTTAGGACATTTTAACAAATCATAACTAATTTATTTGCAATTAATAGTAATAAATTATAAATTAAGTAATTACAAATTTTTTCAGTGTTCTTTTTTTATAATTTAATTTTTAAATGAAACTCTGTCAAACTTCTATGAAAAATCAATTGGTGTATCTTTCATACTTGTTTAAAATGTTAACGACTTGAAATGCACATTTTTTAAAATTCAAAAATATTAAATCTCACATAATTCAAAATTTAAGGTGTTTTTTAAGTAGAAAAATATTAAGGTGTTAATTTACAACTTTTAGGGATTATTTTGAAAAGAAAATGAGTCACATCATCGAATCTGTGAAATTTTAACTAAAAATTAACAGGATAATTTTTCTACAAATATTCAAAACTTTAAGAGTTAAAATATAACCTTTTAAAGCTTAAAAATAAAATCGTGAATAACTGAAAACCTAAAATGCTGATTTGTATTTTACTCTAATTAATTAGAGATTGGGAACCCATCAAGCTAATGTCAAACCCAAGCTTACTCCTGAGCCCGCTTCCAACCTGGAAGCAACCGGGCTAATCTTAATTGAGCTACTTGGAACTCCTTCTTTTTTTTTTTCTCTTAATCCATTGTTGCAATAATAAATTATTTGTGGGAAAAATATCCCAATGATAAAAGAATACCCCTAAAAAAATATCAGACAAAAAAAAAAAGTATTCAATAATAAATCATGATTTATGCTAAAGATTATTAATTTATTCATTATCTACAGCTACCTTTGGAAGCCTTTCGATTTAACGATTTACAATAAAGGAAAATCCTTCAACACTATCAACCATGCCAAATAAACAAGAAAGGATTTCATTTAGATTTACAATTATTTGGCAATGGATAAAGTTATGACTATGCCAATGAAAATGCAAGTCATGGATGGAGCCTGAATGTTAGGAAATGTTTCAATATCTCATTATACACTTAGAAAGTAGTAGATCATGAGGAATGAGCAGAAAACATGCTCAGCTCTTGAATCACCTCCACCATTGTTGGCCTTTGTTCAGGAAGCTCATGGGTGCACAACATTGCAAGTTTTGAAAGAATAGCTGCTTCAGATTTAGAATATACCCCCTTCATATTTGAGTCAATAAAATCTTCAAATCTGGAAGATTGAACTGCCATACGGATTGAACCCCCAATCAGTGTCTTTCCAGATAGAACTTGAAGAACAATTACCCCAAATGCATATATGTCACTCTTCTCAGTAAAGCGTCCAGTAGTAACATATTCAGGAGCTAGGTATCCCATGGCAGCACTTACTTTAAGAGCTGAGAAAACAACATCATCTGCAAGAACCTTAGGGAGGCCAGCATCCATGATTAAGGGGTTAAACTGATCATCAAGAACTACTTTTTCAACTGAAATATTTTGGTGTACTATTGTCGGTTTGCTTGCTTCATTGCTGTGCAGATATCCAATACCTGGTCATAAAGGAATGGTCAATATCAAACACAAAGAATCAATAAATCTTTTCTCTTATTGAGTAAACTTTTAGATAAGTATTTATAAGATAAGAAATAAAAAAATAAAATGAATAAAACTTTTTTCTCAAGTTAACAATAACTTATACTACTCAAGTTTTTAAAAAGTTAAATGAGAGAGTCTCTAACAAAGTAGAGAAGCATAGGTTGATTTTAACTTATGTGAGGGATTTAATTCACTATACTTCCTTATTGTTATATCCTATACGTACTTATTGAAAGGTTTATCCAAAAAGGTGAAGTAGTATCTCATGCATGCTCACTCTTGATTTGCACCAAGGTCCATTCTGCATAATGATTATTGGTGGAACCTTTTTATATATTTCTTTTGTGATTCATTTGAAGAAAGGAACAATTTCAGATGATCCATAAATTGCTGAGAGAATACCGGGAGTCAGAAAGAACTAACCTTTTGCAATGCCCCTGATGATAGAAACCCTCTTGAACCACTCAAGCACATGGTCACTTCCATCTTCTTTGTCAAGATATTGAGAGACATTTCCCCTGGTGGCAAATTCATAGATAAAAAACCATTCACCTCTACTTCTTGAGCAACAGAAACCTCTCATCTTAACAATGTTTTCATGTCTCAATGAGGTTAGTAGTCTCAACCCCTCTAAAAATTCAGCTTGCTCGGTTTTGCAGCATGTCATGCTAATGCTTCGAATAGCCACAAGAGAACCGTCTCTGAGAACTCCCTTATAGACTGCTGAGAATTTGCTCTTACCCAATAAATTGGCCTCGGATAGGTACTGTGTTGCTGATTCAATCTCATCAACGTTAAATCTAAAATGGTTTAAGTATTCACTGGCATTTTGACCATCAATCGATGAATCCCAACCATTATAATAATACTCATGATTAACAAGTGGAGATGGACTTCTGTATAACTCTTTAGGCTTGTCAGGACTAAGTTGGCCTTCAGAAGAATCTGATGTATTCCTTATTCTCTGCCTTTGGCGGCGATATCTAAAAAATATGAAAAGTCCGGAACCTATGAATGTGATGATGGTAGTTATAGCACTTGCTACAATGACAGTATGAAGAAACCTTCTTGATTTTGAGCAATGGGTCTGGTTACAATGCAATTGGGTATTTCCAGGCTCTGGGAAAAATTTTGGAGGATTAGTTTCTATGGATACATTTGAAGTACCAGTAATCTGCCCAACATCATAGACTTTATCTTTGTGGCAAGCTGTCAAAGTAGAAAACCCAACTCCACAAAGACCTGGGTTGTTTGAACCTTGGAATCCTTCCCTTAATCTACTCAATGCTTCATTATCATTTTTAAAACATTAATCAGTTTAGTCCAAATGCACGAAACAGGAGAATTTTGTTGTAAAGAAAGAAGGATAGAGGCTTACCAGAAGGAACAATCCCTGAAAGAGAATTGTTTTGAATATCTAGGATTTCCAAGTTTGCAATATCAGCTAGTGTTGCCGGGACCACGCCATTGAAGTTGTTAAAGCTCAAATTTAGCCTCGTTAGCTTCTCCAAGTTCCCCAAGCTTAGAGGAATTTGACCAGTTAACTTGTTATGCTGCAAAGCAACAGTATCAAGCTGTTTCAACGAACCCATCTGCTCAGGTATTTTCCCCACTAGCTGGTTATAGCCTAACTGCAGCACTGAAAGTATAAATAACAAGGGAACTTGGGTTAACATACAGAACTCAAACTTTGTTTAATCCATCAAATTTGATGACAAGGAGAGTTTGGCTCATTAAAAATCAATTACAAGAGGCCTATTTGGTTTCATTCCATGAAGGACGCGTGACATGTGACAGTTCCGAGTGTCATTCATTTTTAACCCAAGTGGGCTTAATAATCACAAACATATGACAATTATCATACCAATATTCCACATGCCCACGGAATGCACAAGTACATTTACTGTTCTGGTCAGTTTTTTATCTCTCCCCTTTATGAAACACATTATATATGTAGTAGTTCCATGAGAAGAACTGGGGTAAAATGGAGAAAATTATCTAAATTATACTAGGAAGCTGGAATAACCCGCATCCATATCATAATACTTTTCCACACGACTTAACTAACGTATTGCACCTTTGGATTCACGTTTAAATGTCTAATGATCCACATTTACTTCGATTCTACTAGTTGTAAGTTTTGCTTTGAATTCACTCAAAGTTGAATCCAAGCACACATGTAGTGTTTAACAGATAATTCATATAATTTAAATCAATTTAAAGCAATTTTTCCGTTTGAAGATCTTCAACTCAATATAAATAATCCAATGAATCCATGGAGCTAAGATTATTAAGTATTGAAGCTTCTACCCTTCTTTTTCTGTAGTCAATTTCAATCATGAGTGTACCCAAATTGTACGGCTTGACTCTAGAATTTAGATATATTCTCCATCTACATGAATTTAAACAAAACCAGTACAGATAACATGATACATTAAACTTAAGGATGAACTACAATAAAACTGTACACCAAGTTACTAACCTTGAAGGCTAGTCATGTTCCCGATATCTGGAGGAATGGTTCCAGATAGATTATTCATGTTTAGATAGAGATCAACCAATTCATTGAGATTTGAAATCTCTCTGGGTATCTCCCCAAAGAGATGGTTGTAATGTAAGTATAAACCTGACAAGCATTTAAGTTCAGCCACAGCTAGAGAGATGTGGCCAGAAAGACCCCTTCCTGGTAATGATATATTAGCCACTTTGTTGTCCTCATTGCACACAACCCCCAGGAACGAACCACTGCATGGATCACCATCACTGATCCACGAGCCAAGGATCTTCTCTTCTGGGTCCAGAGAGGATTTCAGGTCTATCAAAGCTCTCAGCTCTGCATTTCCACGAACCACCTGTTGTGGAGTGGAAAGAGCAACCAATAGAATCAGAGGAAGGAGAAGATGAAGAGAACTCATATCCAATTTTGAAGAGAAAATTTTCAAAAACTAAGCTGAAAGAGAGACACCCATGTGAGCTTTTGTCTCAAAGATTCTGACTTTGATCTTAGTTTTGGTTTTGGTTTTGGGTTGCACTCGAACACGTTGTTGGTCAATGGTCACCCTGCATGACTTTGTTAGTCTCTGTTTCTGGACTTTTTGTCTAAGATTTTGAATGTGGCAGTTTGTGCTTGTGCACGGAGAATGAAGAAAGGAAGAAAGAAGAGAAGCATTTTCAAAGAGGGAGCATAGTTAATTAATTAACTTTGTTAGTCGCTGACAGATAAGTTTGTTCACATTGCATCTCCTTGGGGAGATGAGAGTCGGCGAGGATGGCTGCCACTGGTTTGGAAAACATTTTCTGCACTAGAAAATTAAACGCAAAATAATGATATGGGTAGTGTGTGGACCAACTTGGTTTGACAATGTGGTTTCAACTTTCAATTTGGCTATAAAAAATGAAATACAGTGCTATAATGCTTAGTAGTTACTAATTTTCTCCCTATAAGATTGGTTAAGTTGCCTTTATTTTATTTTAAGGCTCTGCATTACTGTTTCTTGATCTTGGATTCTTTTTACAATGTAAACAATTTCGGCTCATAAAGAAAGGAGGCTTTAGTATGTTTTAATTTGAGAATAAGGGTAAAAGCTTCTCCCCAAGATTATATGGATGGAAGATTTAAGTTCTTGGGATTTTACAAGCTTTTCATTACTCATTAATATTTTTAAGTACAAAACAATAATAAAAAAGTTAAAAGTTAATATATATTTTTTATTTTAGAGACAAATATTTAAATCATATAATTTTGAAAATTAACTTAATTTACTTGTGAAATATTACTAGGACAAATTTATCTCGTTTTCTCTGCACAATTTGATTTTGTTTGTGTTTGGACCATATAATTCGTTGCACAATTTAATTGTATGAAAAACAGTTCGATAAATTTTCTAGGAATGAATTCCCTTATTATTACGCAAGAGAAACATAGGGATGATGTGTGAAAAAGGACCAAAACGAAGCATTGGGACGATGTGTGTGAAAAAGGACCTCAACTCAGATGATGGTCCTTTAGGACGCATAGTTTGGATCATTAAATTTTTTGAACTTGAAAAAGCTTGGGGCCCGCACCCATTATTGTCATGTGTGAGAGCACCCTTTTCAATGCTCTCCACTTTACCGAACGCCATTTCTGCTTTATGAATATGCTTTGTTTATAATGGAAACAAAAATATAAATAACTTTGATTTATATATATTTTAAGTAAATACTAACTGAAATATAATGTGTTTTATAAGAAAAGTTTTTTATTTAAATAATGCTGTTAGAACATTGGTTAACAAAAATTATGTTTTAATACTATCTATAATTATTTAATGTTTTTATTTTTATGATATTAAACTACCTATTAATTTATCATTTTTCATTTTTATTCTTCTCTTTTAGTAAGTATAACACCTCTTTCCTTGTCTACTAAATATTATTCCAAGAAAAAGGTAATAACGACATTTCCATCTTGTTTTTGTTTGTTTCTGGGAGAAGAGACATTGGCTGTGCTTAAGTCAAGACTATATAAAAATGATGCCACCGTTCATAATCTCGCCACCATTCTCGATGATTAAGAATTGAGATCAGAAAGCACAACTAACTCTAAGAAAATTAAGATCCATTTTGTCTTTTAAGATTTTGCATATGTTGACGATATTTTTAATAATTAATTATTTTGTTAGAGAATTAATAAAAAGTTTGTTTCTTAAAATAAAAATTAAAGAGACAAACACTCTCAAACTTTTAATTATTTTAAATTAATCTTAAAAACTAATAACAATAAAGTTGTTAAATAAAAAGCAAAAGGATGATGTTAGAAATTGATTGAATCACTTGTTGCCTTTATTTATATGTTGTTTGATTTTTCTTACAAGATGAAGGTGACTCTTTAGTGATTGCTAGCTTTTTGTGAGTGTTCTCTCAATCTAACAAGGTTCATCACAAAAAGTGACATTTACAGCTGAGCAGAGGTGATGAGTGAAAAAGGAAATTGATTAAACATATGGATAGAGAAGTTTCAGTAATATATCTTTTAATTTGTTTATATTAATTAAAATTACTTGAAAATTATAAAAAAATATTTGAGTTGCATTTTTAATTTAATAAATTCTACTATTAATTTTTTAATTTTTAATTATTTTAATTAACATTTAAAAGTATATTAAAAAAATTTTAACGCTAAAACTCTTCTTATATGTTTGTACTGGCATGTGTGTTAGGGTGTTCAAAACTGAAGTGTTCAAAATTGAACTAAATTGCTTTTAAATCCCTAAATTATTAAAATAAATAAAAAATTTGTTAAACCAAAAATTGATTAAATAAAAAATTATATTTTATATTGTAGTTTAGTTCAATTTTTAGACGTTATTCTTAAAATCAAATTAAATTACATTTACAATAAATTTATACTATTTTTTATTATATTTCATATTAATTTTTACTCAACTTTATCATAACATTATAAAATATATAGTGTATTACTTTTATTCATTTTAAATTTTTTTCAATTAAATATATTATTTTATCAATAATTTATTATATTTTATTATTTTAACTATCATCGCTTTTTTCCATTTTATTTTTCAATAAACTTATTTCAAATTTTGAATTACTATTTACTCTAAATTTAAAATTTAATCAAGTTTGTGTATAATTCTATATATATGTTTGTGTGATTAATTTAATCAGGTTGTCATCTTTCAAAAGATAAATATGAATGTCTTTTCTATTTTTAATGCCTCACAAGAAAAATTTTAAAAAAAGAATAATATTGATATTCCAAACTAAAAATTTTGGTTCATAAAAAAGTAAAAGAGTCCTGACTCAATTTAAATAAGCCTCTTTCTTTATTATTTGTTATATATTTCTTTATTTGTATTTTATTTTTTACTTTTTTAATTTCCTTTTTCACGATAACAATATAAATAATTTCAGAATTTTCAATACCAATAATTACAATTTACGAATAGATCTTAAGATTTGGAAGAGAAATTAGGATTCTTCACTTAAACAAAAGGAGAAAGTTACAATAAAAGTTATTTGGCCACACATTTATACATGTAAAATAGCATCATATTTATCAAGTTATTTATTTAATAAATATGAAAGTTAAATATTATCGTGACATTTTAAAAATTTTAAGAATTAAAACACTCAACACTTATTATTTTAATGATAAAAACAAGAGTTTACTCAATTGAAATAATATAATCAATCGACAATTTTAGATACTGTTTATAAAGAATTAACAATTTCAATAGTTATTATTATAAAAAATAAAAATTCAAATAAATAAATGAATTTCAAGCACTAATTAGTGATTAATATTTTTTAAAATTTATGTGAACATATAACTAATCATATAGAATTATATTAAAAAAATTAACTCTAAAAAAAGTGTAGATTTTGTTGTTCAGGTGGCGTCGTGTCTTGGGTGTGATTTCTCATTCCGATAGGAAAAGGGTGTCGACGTGTCGTTAATCCATGGGCCAATCATTTATACGTTTTTTCATTCTTTCAAAAAAAGTAAGACAAACACAACCGAAGAAGCGGAGGAGAAAGTAGAAAGAGCATTTTGATACTTAGGAATGGAGTGTAGATATGGATAAGTACGTAAGTGAGGACCAAGTTTCTTCCTTGAAGGAAGCTTTCACTCTCTTTGTTACCTAAAGATAGATACCCAGTAATGAGCTTGTCTATTGCGCTCCAATTGTTTCTTTTCCACTTTTAGAAAATGTACTAATTGATGCCTCACTTCCCAAGCAAATGAACTGTTGGTACATGTTTGTCATATGTTATATCATTTCAATATTCTTATTAATTTTACAAATTTTCACACAAAATAAAATTAATAAATAATGTGTACTATTTCATTAAAATTTAAATAAATATCAAATATTGAATAACATTTATAAATTTATATTTATATAGAAATATAGTTGGTAGTAATTATCTTTGTGTAGCCCGTGGGACACGAAATGGAAAAAGTAGACAATTGTATTCTTCTACCAACGCGGTGATGTCGGTCACAAGCTTGGATTCAATTCAAAATACGAAGACGTTGTTTTATTTTTTCTATCTTTTGACGTAGAAAAAACGATGCATTTTTAGGTATGAACACTAATATATCACACATTATCTGTTATCTAGAATATTGTCAAGACGTGTCCAAAGAAATTTTCACAGATGACTTGCTGACACTGAAATTAGGGGGCGTGGAACCTTCAAATTAGTTTGCTTTTAGACTAGTCAATTAACATTACATTAGATTTTAACGTAAATTAAAAGCATCTTATATATTCCCTCTAAGTATGCTCTGTCCCTTAAATTATTGGACTTTCTTCTAATCTCGTTTGCTTACATGGAACGACACACTCTAGCTACTAGCTAGGAGTGGCCTATCCACATTAAACCTAGTTTTCTTCAAGCAAACTAAATCTCTGTTTTTCTCAGTTCTGATCATAATTAATTGTACCCTATCCAACAGTAACTCGGCAAATATCCATCATCAGCATTAAATATTGGCTAGAAACCACTGCAAGGCTCATGAAACATGGCCGGAAAGAATCGAAAGATTGTTTTATTAGGAGAGATTTATTCATTTGCTTTGACTTTTGAGAGTTGCGAATTTATTTAAAAAGCATTTAACTTTTAAAAGTTAAGTTATTAATATTTTTATTTTTTATTATTATAATTAAATTATATGTATATACTGCATTTATTTTATTATTTTTTTATACTCTTTATTTTCACGATAGTTTTTTTTATTTATTCATTTATTTTCATTTTTATCCATTTTTTTCAAGTGTATTTTATATTAATATATATATAGTTTAAAATATTTCATTTTTAAATATATATGAAGAAAAATGTTATTTTTTATATAATTAATTAATTGATAATAAATAACTAAAATAAGTAATATTCAATTTTAATATTAATTTAATTTAATATTATATTTCTTTTTAAACTGTTTAACATAAATTAGTTAGTTACACAATAGATTAACAAACTATCTATTAATTGATAATAAATAAATAAATGTTATTTTTTAACATAAAAGTTAAGCTATTTATACAGTTATAAGTCTATAATTTTTAACTAATTTTACAGCTAAATATAACTTATATCTTATTGATGAAATGTTGCTTATTAGAGCGAAAGTTTACAATGCTTATCGCAAGGATTTTTTTTATCTTGCAAGTAATTTGGGTAGAGCACGAGTTTGCTCTGTCTTGTGTTTCCACCCACATGCATAAACATTATGCCCACGCAGATAATTGTAACAATGGGTATTGAGTGTTGACTATCTTTCTTGAGTGTGTATGTAGTTTGGTATAAAACAGTTTATATATATATATATATAATGTTTGATCCAATAATAAAAAATAAAGTGCATTTAGTCTTAATCATTTTAAATATAGTACCAAATTTAAAGTGTTTAGAAGAGCTTACAGGAAACTTACCCAAATAAATAATGATTTTGCAGAGCTTAACCCAACCTGATCTATGTCAAACTGTTCATTCAATGCATACATGACAACTTCCTGAACAATAAAGGACTATAATAATGAATAAATATGTGAATATGTGCACCCGAAGTGGTCCAGATACGGTACGGGGGACTGGACTGGGCAAATGGGGCGACAATGGAGAGAGGAGGAGAACCAAATTGGGTGACGCTAATTAACAGTTGGACTGTGATTTGTGATGTAACTCGCTTTATGGAGTTACTGTGAGCGTAGCATTCAAGCAAGCATTTTTTTATTAGAAGAGGGCAAATTTTGAAAGGAAATCGGGGTTGGTAAGTAATTCGAACATATCAGCACTTTGTCATAGATGCGTACCCAAAAGGGGTGTGATTTTGAGTGGGACTCGATCCTCTTCACATTGATGTCATGTCCATGTTGCGGATCCTTTATGGACGCGGTGACCTTAAAATCTCTAATAAATAGAGACATACCAGCTGTGAAGCTTACACAACTACGTCACTTGCTATTTCTTTATAAACTGTAAGAATGACTAATCAAATTCAATGAATATATACTTGAGGAAGTGATTCAATTAATACCCTCACTTTTTATTTAAACATTGCAGCGAGGAATAAAGTCATTCATTTGACACAGTCCAATTCTATCGACCGACTATATTCTTTCTGTTTACTGCATTATCTGTATTTTGTGTTAAAAAGAAACGTAGGATATGTTAGTGGGAGTCGCAGTCGTTTTCCCTGCTCAATTACATACAAGACAATCCTTTCCGACAGGCACACAAGAATTTATCTTTTCAATCAGCGGTATTCTTCAACTAGGTAGTTGTGTATAAATTTGGTTGAAGCTAATTTCAAGTTTTGAAGATATTTTTACGTAAAAACGTGATAAAGAAATTCTATAATAATGAGCTAAAATAAGAAAATTAAATGTAACAGTAATCGGAGATGTAGTAAAATAATATTTATAAAGCATGTGCTGAGACACTTATATTCATTCAACGCAGAACAAAACACACGAAATTCTACCAACGACGATGTGATGTCTTGATATTTCCGTGACGGATAAGGATCTTGTTATAAAGATATCTAAAATAATTGAAATTGGGATATCAATATACAAATAGGGTAAAATTAACCTGTTCTGTTATGATATTACTACGCAATGCCCACAAATGGTTAGACGTTAATTTCATGGATTAGGTTAAAAACCTACGATAAAGTGGAACAGAAGAGAGGAAGAGCAAGTAGGTTAATTAGGAACCAAAACGAAGGGGAAGATGGTTTCCCTTCCCATGAACGCAATTTCCTTTTATCTCTCAGAGCACGCAAGACACGTGACAGGGAAAGCATTGTTAGTTAATCGTAAAGACAGAGAGACAAGAACAAACAGTTGAACAAAACAAACAAACAAAACCGGAGTTATCCGAATCCAACAGACACGTAGGATTGGCGCGGAATAAACGTCAACGCTCGTATTCTCTCTACAACCTATCCTTTTCTCTTTCTCTGTCCGTCGTGTAATAGGAATAACGAATAATATTCGTTCATTCACATCTACTATTTATTAATTCAACACTCGCCACCCAATTCTTCACAAATTCACAATCGCTGAGAGAGGGAGAGAGACGCAACAGAAGCATAATAATTAACAATCGTAGGAAAATGAAATTAGTGTGGTCTGCAGAGACAGCATGTAAAGCATACATCGAGACGGTGCAATCTGTAAGCGCTTAATAGTTAGAGGCTGCGTTTGTGAAATTTTGCTGCAACTCCTTCCATTAATTAACGGATGATATTTATCTAACAGTGATTTTTTGTGCAGTGCGGGGTATACAGAGAATCAGGGGTGGCGGAGTTGGTTGCGGCGATGGCGGCTGGATGGAACGCGCAAGTGATAGCGGAGACATGGTCAGAGGGAGGAGCGATAGAAACGAGCATGGGTTTAGGGATAGCCAGGATGCACACGGGTGGGAGGCACGTGTGCATAGTCCCTGACGAGAGGTCGAAATCGGAATACGCAGAGAGAATGGGAGAGGCTGCCATGTCGCCGGAAATATTGGTGGGCGAGGCAGAGGAGCTGATGGAGGGGTTGGCGTTGGTTGCTATCGACTTCATGGTCGTCGACTCCACGCGCAACAATTTCTCTAAACTTCTCAGCCTCGCAAAGCTCAGCAACAATGGCGCCGTCCTCATTTGCAAAAATGCTAACGCAAGGAACGTTCCTTCACCTTCTGGTTTTAAATGGCGGAGTGTCCTTCACGAAGGCTCGCGTCGTCTCGTTCGCTCTGTGTTTCTTCCAGTTGGCGACGGACTCGACGTTGCGCACGTCTCTTCCGTTAATTCACCGCTGAAGAGTGGCGGTGCTAAGAGATGGATAAAGCATGTTGATCCACGGTCAGGGGAGATTCACGTTATCAGAAGATGAACTTGTTACTCATGTTCGGAGACCCAAAAACCGAGCTTCACGTTCTTTTATTCATTAATACTCGTCTCTTTTTTGTAGTATTCATTTTACCAAAACCTATTCACTTTTCTTTTATTTTTGTAAATAGCAATTAGCAGCAATACTGTGCTCCACTGAGGCACAAAACAAACTATTCCCTTTGTTTTTCTTCACTTTGTTGTTGCTTATTAGTCATTGCACAACACCTCACTGTGATATCCTCTTTGCCTGCATTTGTAGATATATCTTGTTTATCAACCTCTAAAAATGCTACAATGGGATGGCCACTATTTTAAATATTATAATACAAACTAAATTATTTATACTATACATGTAAATACTAAAAATATAAAATTTAAGAAATCGAACATAAATCAAAGTCGTGGTTTACACACGATCACGATCGATCAGAGAACAATAAAAACATAGTGATCGAGTCAAAAAGAAAAATGATGGTGAAATTACTAGAAAAAAAACATCACACATTAGGTGAAATTAGTAGAATGTGAACTGAGATGTCTTGTGGAAAACAAAGAGAAAAACCCTAGAAAAACGATTATGACCAGAAGTGTGAAAGGACAAAGATCAAAGCAAAGATAACTTTCTGTTTCAATGGTCAAGAAAGAAGGATTTCAAATCTTCTTGTGTTTCTAGATAAATGCATAAAGGATGTAGCCCGCTGTTGTAGTAACTTGTAAGGAAATTCGCTTTTGCCGACTCAACTTTTGGGAAGGGGAGAGCGTACGTACTTGAGGAAGGGTAAAGATAACGCCGCATAGCATAAGCTATCAGTTATTGGCTATAGGTCTCCAAAAACGCGTTTTAGTTTAGCATTCCGAGTTCTATAGTTTATAGTACCACCGACTTTTGGTTCAAAGCAATAAGAAAATGATGTTATATCTATCATGTATATGTTGGAACAATTGAGATTGAGAGCAACGCGCACCAAATTTTATAATTTAACATAATTAGCTTATACAGACGGCATTGTTCTTCTACCTGCTTGGCCAAAATTAAAAATACTATCACAGAATTGTATCAATACGAATCGACTAAGGAACCAACCTTCCCAGCTACCTTAATAACAAAATTCCTTGCCCCCGTAGCTCATTTTGTATTACCATTAATATATTTTTAAGTTAAAGCACGTTTTCGGGTTGCTGATCTACAATGACTATAGATCTTTGATCTATCAGTCGGGATACGTGCAAAGAGCCCCTAAAGGGGGACTTGAGCATTCCAGGGAAATTTAAAAGATTCAACCAATATATGATATTTCTATTTGAAAAGATCGTATCGGTTAAAATCCTAGCTACATCACAATTCTGGCCAACTATCAATAGGCAGCCACAAACAACTTTTGAGGTCCTTCCAGCAGACTGGTTGATTATTGGGCTATGTTCTTCCAAATCTTGTTATATTCAACCATTCGGTATGGTAGTATCAGAGCATTTGCTTCTGCACGCTGTAGCACAGAGATTCCGAAAAGACATCAATTGAGAATACATGTACTGAAATGGACAGTAAAATGTTTGATAAATGAATCTCAACTAGCCAATAATGGTCAACTTACTAAAATGATACAACAGTTTCAAGATTCCGGAAAACAACAAATTAGTCCCAGCTATTTTTACTTCTTCTGAACGCCTTCTTATCTGAAAGCACCTTCTTGCTTTTGAGCCGTTTCTGTTCTCCTATGGCAGCCCTTCAAAAGTGCAAATTTGATTAACAGTTGTCAGTTACAAGCCCTTCACCACCAAGTGATTCTAATGTAACAGAAGCCACAAACAAATGGTACCCAGAATAAGAATTATATTTCACCAGAAGAATTAGAAAATATAAAAAGAGAAGTGCTCTTACATCTTAGCAATTTTCTTCTTTTGCTCTTCTGAGGGAGGTGGCGGGACATAAGATGCTGCATCAATGATTTCCTTTTTTTTTTTTCACATTAAATAAACAGAAAAGCACCATTACTAAGTAAAAACCATTTTTCAGGAACAAGAAAAAAACTAATATACTTAAGTCTGGATAGTTGAAAGTGAGGGAAGGGGAATAAAGGTTGGATAACCTAAATCTAACATCCAAATAAGTACATACAGCATAGATGACCATCATGAGGAAGGATGAAGCATAATTTTTTTTTAAGGGAATCAATGGCATGAATGTAAGATTTTTCATATATTTCATTACATGCAATAAAGATAAGACATTTTTTTATCACATTATTCCTTATCTTGATCTACACAAGTACACCATGGAATTTAGTAGGTACCAGAGAAACAGAGAAAAGGAGCACAAGAGAACTGGGCTGTATTAAACTTCAAGAATTTGACCAAATGAACCACACTTTACTATAAAACTGTATATAAAAATAAAAGGACCAAAATTATTCAAATCCTAGGCAAATAGAGAGAGCCTCGTCTCTCCCCCAACTCCAGACTATTCCAGGCCAGCCTCCACCACATTCATACCCCCAGCATTTATTCTTTCTCTACCCAGACTCACATGTGGTCCCACCCATTTCTGCCAGCTGAGCCGTTAGTTATGTCTTCCCCTTTCAATTTTGATCAGGTGCATTGCAACTTATGTTCTGACACTGTACCCCACTCTTCTTTGCTATTCTTTCATAAACTTTGGTGATTTCAGCTTCTTGGGCCTTGGTGTCATACCAAACTTCATTATAATGAGTATGACAATCAAATCAACCAACTCTATTATAAAGGAACCAATGATTAGCAAAGAAAACAATAAGAAATCGATGTACAAAATTCCTCCAAGAAATATTCCATTTCCCAGTGAAGATGCTACCTTAACTCCTTAGAGACCCACAAAAATAGTCAGGACCAAAACTCTTCAAGCATGACTTAACATGTTTGAATACACTACAACAATATAGAAATAAGGCGAGAGAGATGTCTAGTTGTCTACCACCAAGTCACTGTCCTTCCTCCATTCTTCCACCAGTTTGTTCATAAGCAAGCAAGGGGATTATTACAAATATCACATTTTCTATAAATGAACTCCTTCAAAACCCCAATAATAGAGAAGAATAAGAAATAATCGAATTCAGAGATACCAAAATGTCAAAAAACCTGTCTTATATAGCTAACATTACTCTGCAGAAACTGTCTTTTATACTAGAAAAATCCTTTTTAAGAGCTTGTTTGGTTTAAGGAAAATTTTCTATTTCCATATTTTTTTTTCATTTATAATTAAAATTATGCCCTTGTTTTTACTTTGGTTCCACTAAGAAGACAAGATATAAAGAAACATAATCATTTCCAAATGTACCAACCAATGATAATTGTCAAGGACCAAATAACGAACAACATTCTTGGGTCTCCACTTTAGGAGATATATTCTTTGACTGTAACATCTGGTACTAAAACATTCTTTTGAACAATTTTAATAAAAGAAAATTGATATACTAAATTATCTTACATTACCTGAAGCTTTGTCAAAGCATCGTCAATGTTACCCCTGAGGAAAAATAAAGGTAGAATGTTAGGATCCAATTGTAAGGTAAGGACATTGGAAGTATGAATTTATAAGGTTTAGGGCTCTCCAACTAGAATGGTTAGTTTTTGAGGTATGATTCACACAAGGTTTTTATCAATTGGGATCAAAGCCTTACACTATGTCTGTCGGTTGAGCATCGGGGGTTGTAACCCTCACATTTTAATGTTTGCCTTGGACTAGTTAAGAGGTAAGTGCACAGCCAACCTGTGTGGTTGGCGAGACTTTGGAGCATGTGGTGGAATGTTAGAAACCAATTGCAAAGCATGGGATTTGAGTCTCACATTGGAAGTATAAAATTCTAGTACGAGGTTTATAAAGTCTTGAACTCTCCAACTACAACAGCTAGCATTTGTTGCAGCATACATACAAGGGAAACAGACAACAAATAGGACAAAAGAGAAGAAACTAACTTTTGTGTTCTAGTTTTGGTTGAAGAAATCACCAGCTCCCCATCCTTGTTAATACGGTTTTTCTCCTGCTCAGGATCAGCAAAATTAAAGATTATTAAAAGACAAGGTAGATGATCAATCAAACCAAGAGAAGAACCGCACTTGTTAATTATTTAAGGGAGTAACCAATCCACTTGTTAATTATTTAAGGGAGTAACCAATGAAGATTCTCAACAAGCAATTTTAGCACAACTAGACATATAACAATATAATTTGCTTCCAAACGCAATGACAACCATACAACTACACGAGGTTAAGAATTATTAAGTAAATGCGGTAATACAACAAGATTAAGGCATATTATCTCAATACCATCTGTATAATCTTCTCCCTGACCCTGTCACTTAACCAATATGCATTTTTAACGTTGAAGCGCATGTCCACCTTAGTGTTTACTGTCCAATCAGCAGATGGTAAGTAAAACACAAGCATTATTAACGAAAAGGAATGATAACAAATTGAAATGGGGACAAACAAAACTAATAACCATTGATTTAAAAAACAACAACATACAGAAAACAAAAATGAAAAATAACCTTTATTCACGTTCTGGCCCCCAGGTCCTCCACTTCTGGCAAAGCTCACTGTAACATGATCTGAAACCATAAAAAATAAATAAAAAGTATAGTCATTATTTTATTTATCAAATATTTAGAGGAATGGGAAAAATTGAGGAGAAATAACGAACCCAAGGTGATTTTGGGAGGAGGGCCTTCGTTGGCGGAGAGTGCTCGGTGCTCGGCTTGTTGAAGGAGTTGCTGAACCTGTGATAGGCGAGACGATACTTTGTTGTCACTACCTGAATCTGAGGAAGAGCATCGAATTGCAGTAAATAGAATGGTAGGGTTGGAACGGCGTAATTGAAGTGAGGAGGGAAAAGGAGAAGGAGGACAGCGAAGACGAAGCGAAGAAATGGCAAGTGTGGAAGAAGAGAGGCACAACATCTCCTTCACCAGTGTTCGAGTGGTGGTAGCCATTCAAGTATACGCCACAACCCAAGACCTTACACAGGTTGTGGTTGATTTTTCATTTTAAATCGTATGATGAGTATTCAAACTTGTAAAACAAAGTTAAAGTAGTTAAGGGAAATATAGATGATGATGTTATTCAACACTCGACAAATGGAATTTAGGATTCTCTTAGGTGGAAACTTTAGAGGTATGCTTTGGTCATTTAAATTTATTAAAATATATCATTTAATAAATTTTGTTTTTATAATATATATTTGATTGTTGAGACTTATCGCAGTGATAATATTACTTTACATGATTTATTTCCCAACAAATAGTAACAAAGTTTATTTGTAAAAAAAATTGCAAGTTATAATAACTTGATATAAGGAGATTAAAAATAAAAGAAGAAATGTAATTAAGCTATCTGATTTCTCCTCAATACAATGGCATGATGTACAATTCTCAACCACAATTAAGATTTTTTTACTGTATCAAATTATTGGGGAAAAAAGTAAGAAATCCTCCAATTCAAATATTTATATACGTGACTCTTCAAACATAAATTCTAAGTATTCTTTAGTCTCTTTTAAGTGGTTTCACAAAGAAAATAAAGTTATAATTTTAAGTTATCTCTTAAGTATTCAATAAGAACAAATAATATTCTCTCTCGTAGTAAAGGAATAAAGGAGTAAAAAAAAAAGCATTGTGAGATTTGCAACCATTCTTACTCTACGTTTTGAGAAATTGTAGTTTTGCTTAAGCCACCTAGAATAATTCAGTAGCAGTTAATCAATCCCAAGATTTTATACCAAGTCTCAAGTTATTGGATTAGAAATAATCTCACTATGAATCTGGGTACGGGCACCAAGCTAAATTTGGGACTACTACCCCTTAGTTATGGCATAATTGTATAAAAGAAACAACAAGGCCATCTTTGAAGGGATAAGTTGAGTGCTATAAATAAAAGTTAATTTTTTTAAAACTTCGCACACCTTATATAGGATATTAGTGAATTTCTCATCCACTATGCAAATAGTAAATTAAATATAATTTTGATAAAAATTAAATATATATTGAACAATTATTTTTAAATTTAGTAAATTTTATAAATTTAAAAGAGTAATTATTTTAATTGTTAATAATAAATATTTTATTATGTTAAGTATGAATAAATTGAAGAGACATAATTTATAAAATTAAAAATAAATTATAAAAAAAATAAAATTCAAAATAAAATTGAATTAAAAAAGCTGAAATGTTCTATACAAAATAATTGACCTGACATAATAAAAAATGTAATAATTTCTAAAATTCTTCTCATTTAAAATACCTCCTAAAACTTTCTTTTTTAACAATGACTTACATTATAAAGTATATTTAAGTTAACTACTTGAAGTTACCTTATGATGACACCCATTACATAGGGTTGATCCCATTCGAATTAGCATGAAGTTAATTAAATATAAGTTATGCTAACCAATTATTTCTTTGATATTATTAACGTGTGTTAGGAACTATTTAGGTTATATTATTAACTACTATTTTTACAATGGTTATAATTTTAAAATACTAATTTAAAATAATTTATTGATTTACGTGCATTAAAAGTTTAAGCTCAATCAAAGTTTTAAAATTAATCATTTAGAATATTCATAACATTAATTTTTTTAAAAATAATAAATATGATTTTTTTTAATCTTTGATTAATTTTCGTTTGCTCCAAGCCCAATTACGCAAGACTGAATTAAATCCAGTCAAATCAACTAGTTTAATTTTGATTCTAACATTTTTGCTAACTTTTAATTGTAGTCTTTCTAAACTTTTCTCAAGTCCATACTAATACTATTTTTTTATTTTTAATCTCTCATTCAGGTAGCCTTACAAAAATTAGCAGAGTTTCTTAATTAATTATGTCTTTATTCAACAATCATCGTTAAAAATAAAAAACGCGTACCAAATCACAGTAACGTTGTACAAGTAAACAGGTTTAACTCTAAAATTAATGTATAAAATAAAAATGTGAAAGGATTAAATGCAAAAAGTAAAACTTTTATCTACTGTTAATTTAAATTAAAATATTTTGTAGATATAACTAATTAATGAGATCTCAAATTTCACTTTGTTATTTTACACATACCTTCCCGTTAAAGTAACTAAATCCAAAGAGGCATCTTCGCACGTTTTTGTTCTTGTTCTTGGTAGGTTACCAATCTGTATGGCATAAATATTGCGTAGGGCAATACAAACAAACATCTCGTGCGCCTCAGAAGACAACTAAATAACCACAAGCAACATGATTGGCAGTAAACATGTACTGTAAATTTCGTCATACAGTCAGGTCATAATGCAGGCCTCAGACCCTAACATCGTCATTATGATTTCAATGGATACATCCTTCCAAGACATTAAAACGGCCAGAATCATCATACTCCCGAGGGAAAGGAAACAAGAACCACACTAACAGGTAATAACGTGAAAAACCATGATGCAGAATCGATGTTGCCTTAATTTCGGCTTCGCCCTCCTGGATGATATGCACTCTTACCACTTGAATCTATCCTTGCTCTCTCCTGTGCACGAGAAGAACCAACTTTATCTCTACCTTCAGAAGTTGTTCCCACAGGATGAGTATACTCTGTAGAAGGAAGCGCCCAACCTCCTTGCCTGGCCAGCTCAGCTTGTCCATTATTACGCTCAGCTTCTGAAACACCAGAGCCCAAATTAAAGATGACAAACAAATCAAACACTGCCCCTTTGAAAGAAAAAAATATCACTCAAGGCATAGTAAAAGTTTACTAGCACAAAAACAGATATCACTTCATAATTACTATTTATTACAATGTAATGATACTATTTGACTTATATATTTTAGATTTGCTTTTTTTTTTTTTATGTAGATGCGTGATAGCAGCAAGACAGTAAATTTGGAAATAAAATAGATAACCGGACGTATATTAACATAAAGAAGAATAACCCACAACAGATATATATTGTTCACTAGTCATACTAGAACATTTAACATACAATTAACCATACTAATAACAGCCAGACTGAAGCCAGGTATCCTCTCCATACCATTGAATGCATTGAGCATCTCTGCCACTTTACCTTTACTTCTCACAAATAAAGAGCACAAGCTATAACTATCATCAAACACATTTTTTTAGCTTTTTGTACAGCACTACAAAAAGTTTGTTGAAAAATTAATATTTCTGATAACATGATAACAAATTCAGAAGCATGTACACTAAAACACCAAGTGTGATGTTATGAAAGTGATCATGAATAAGGTGACCTCGAAGCTCCTTTTTCAAAGAAAATATATGCTTATATTAGTTGGCTGAATCTTCAAAGAAGTTATTAAAAGAGATCGTTTGGTTAATAATATATTTGAAAATTTAATTTTTGATCAAGTTCAATAACATTGTGTAATCTATGTAGTCCAAAAAGTTTGGTTGTTGTTGTTGGTTGTATTATTTGACTTAAAATGATATGTTATTTCATTTTGTACTGATTTTCTTAAAACAATGCTTATGATATATACTATATAGCATTACTATACAAATTTTTTTTATTTCCTTGTATTTTAGTTATTCAAGTAAGTTAACACATGTAATCCAATGAATTTATTAGCAATTATGCTAATAAAACAATAGCCTTTTGGAAACTTTGGGACAGATATGCAAATGTAAAACTTAATAAAGATATCTGGTAAAAATAAATCATCCACATTCTCAAGTAGCAGAAAGGATGCTGGGTTGCTCACCAATACTCCCACTCCATCCAGGCATATACTTTTGACCACCCTTTCCTTTCCATTCTTCTTCAAAGCCAGTAAGTTCATCTACAAAATCAAACCCAAAACCTTCAATATGGCTGGCACACAATGGTATGAAATGGAGCAAGTAGATGTCATATCATATCACAAGAAACATGAACATCAGATTCATGACATACCTTCATCTATATTGTGCAAAGTCTGCATAGTATCTACCTTACCATCTGAATTAAGTTTTCGAGAGAGAGAATGTCCCTATAAGGTATCAGTTATGTATAAAATAAAATAAATTAGTAAGGGACATAATTCAAAGTTAAAGCCATTAAAAATTTGACATCGAAAGTTATTCCAAAACCAAACCAACTTAGGCCCAATTTAGATTTACTTCTTAACAATCACTTATTAAATAAGAAAACAAAATGAATCAAACTTCTCTTATAAGTAAAAACTAGCTCGTGCATCTCAACTCTTTTGAAAGCTCCTTCATATTTAACTTCTGCATAAGTTGAGGGGCATGAGAAAATTTTCATTTATTTTAATTCCTTAATTTGTTTTATTTTCTTTTCCTATAAATACTTATTGAAAAATTTATCCAAACTGAAGCTTAAGAGAATAATATATGAATACCTTGCCACGAATCCCTCTAGAAATTGTGTGAGAAGCCTCCCTTGAGGAACTATCAGCCTCCTTGCTCTCTTCAAAGGCCACCTAACAGTAACACAATCAAGATGGCATCAGAAAAATAACAATCTGCAAGTCTTAGATTCAATCTAGCTGTCAATCAATATTCTAAATGTTTACTCCGTCACTCCCAGTCCTCCTTGTCCTTGAGGAAGTATAATACGTTCCATTTGAACCCCCATAGCTGACTGTTGAGCTGAAGCAGAAGCTGTGAGATTGAGGCTGAGGTCCAGCTGCATTGAATCTGTTGTACTCATTTCTAGCCTGCAAATGTTTGATCTTCTTCCCTGCAGCATGAACTCAAAAAAATCAGCTTAAATAAAACCATGCTAGCACTTTTGGGAGATATAGAGAAAAAAACACTAATTGCTGCATAAAATACATTACCTTCAAGTTCCTCATCTGGATGTTCAACAAAGGGTTCGTTGCTTGACCTACTATGCTTTCTTGGATTTCCTTTCTTCTCCTCTGTTGCATCCTCTTTTTCATCATCAGAGTCCAATTCCTGAATGATTGGTCCCCTGTGCCTACTAGGCTCTGGAGCTTGATGCTCTAGAAACCCTGATGGATGCATATTTGGGGGGAAAGGAAATCCCGCAGGGCCACCAAAGGGACTAGACTCAAACATCCCTCCAAAAGGACGGGTGAAAAAAGGGTCATCAAATGGATCTCTTCCCCCAAAAAAACTTGAAATTAAACTCCTGGGAGGTCCAAAGGAACCAAATCCTCCAAAACCACCAAAAGGGTCACCAAAGTCAAAGAAAGGATCCCTGCCACCTCCGCGTCCTTGCATTCTGTCTCTTTAAGTTCAGTATTCACTGACAATACAGTACGTATGCAGGATAATTAAGCCCCCAATAAACCATACAAATATTAATCACAGGTTCACTACAAATTTTGTAAGAATAATTGTATCTTAACAAATCCTCATCCAAATTAGTTACTTTTTTAGAAGGAAAAAAAAAAGTTTTGGGAAGCCTAATGATTTAACATTTTCTTTTATAAGACTGCATTTGGAGAATGTTAGAGGATATAATATAATTGGACAAATTACATTTACACCGGTTTAAATTTAAGGAAATTTCATCCAATATCCCTTCCTTTTTTGACATTACGTTTACCTCTTTGGATTCATGTAAATGAATTAAAAATCAGGAGACGTTTGTGTCATCAAGAAAAAATTTCGGTTTAATGTTATATAAATTAGGAAATTTTCGTACAAGGTAAAAAAAAGGAGGGGTATGGGGTGAACGTTCATGAAACTGTGAGTGTAATTTGTCCAGTAAAATGCAAACACTTAATTGCTTCAAACCCTAACGACATTAGCGTAATTCAATTAAGGCCACCCCAAAACAAACGGCTTACACCCACCGAACCGAATATTAAACATTAGAATCAATCCACCAAACAAAATCATAGCGAAATACGTTAAACACGAAGATCGGGAAAATGAAATAAATAATACGTAAGACTGAAAAAGGAGCAAACATAAAACGAACGAAGATCAATAGAATCAAATTCAAAGCCCTAAAATAAAAACGATTAGTTGAAAGAGATGAATACCTGAGAGGCAACGGAGGAGTAGAGAGCAAGAAAAAGGAACGATCGGTAAAGCCTTATCAATTACTTGGAACCCAAAATTTGGCTGATTCCTTCGACAATTCGTAGTTCAATTTCAGGAAATAGAACAATCTAGCGTGACCGAGAGATGAGATATATACCTACCATGCACAAACATCACATGGGCTAACTAAATGGGCCCAACAACCTTACACCGCCCTCAGTATTTACATTTATTCTTTTTTACCGAAAAAACCTTTTTATTCTTTACTTTTATATATTATATCAATTAATAATTAATATTATCAGTCAATATTTATATCATTGCGTTTCAACAACAAAAATATATCAACTTTATTTGAGTAATTAAAGTTTTTAGCAAATTTTAATTAATTTCAATGAATGATATCAATATAAAATTACAAAATAAATTATCCTTTTAATTTTTATTATTTTTATAAATTATTTTTAAATTAAGTAAAATAATATTTTTAATTTTAAAGTAAATAATCATCAATTATTTTAATTTTTATTATTTTTAAAATTTATTAAAATAATATCTATAACAAATAACATTACATTTTAGTTTCTAGCACATACAATAATCAATTATTTTAATTTATGTTATCACTTAAATGTTAGTTGTTCTAACAAATAAGTTTATTTATATATTAAATATTAGTTAGACATGATATTTAATATTTAATAATATTTTATAAAAATATGTAATAAATTAATTTAGTTATTATAAAATTTTAAATTTAAACCATCAGAACTTAATTTGAGTAACAAACAGTTTGATATAAATTAAGTAAACTTTTAAATTTGAGTTTTTGTATATGAAAAAATATCTTTAATAGATTCCTTCATCATATTTCGGTGCTTGATTTGAATTAAATTTTGATTAAATTAGATAAAAAAAATCAAAAAAAGTCATGTAATTATTAAATATTATATATTATGTTCAACTAGTATTTAAATTTAATATTTATATATATAATTATTTTATTTGTTAAAATAATTAATGCCAAAATAATGATATAAATTAAAATAATATTTTATTTAATTTATGAATTATAAAAACAATAGATATTAATACATTAAGAATAACATGATATTTTGTTTAATTTACAAATTATTTTGTTAAAATTTATAAATGAGACCACATATATATAAAGTGATCAGTTAAAGTGAGAGATTTTTGCTGGAAATTAAGTTCAAAAGTACCAGAAGACAAAAACTAAAAATAAGAAGTTAATATGTTCTTATTGTTAAATTATAAATTTGTATCTCAATTTCTAAACCAAGGTAATCCTCATACTTTCTCATTCTCATCCGTTTTTGTGTTTTTCTTGTCACACGACACATTTTTTGAATTTTTATATTAAATCAACCATTGGTTTATTCTTCTTTTTATAAAATTATTAATCAAATAAAATTTTCAATTTCATTAAATTTCTAATAAATGTTATATTTTTTTAATCATTTAAATATTATTAGTGCCGTTTTAACTGTAAATAATTAGTGATTTTGTTGTACATTTAATAAAAATTATTAAACTAAACTAAAAATTTTAAATAAATAATTTTAAATGTATTATATATTTCTAAGATATCAATTATTTACAATTTTTATAATTATGTATATAGTTTATTTTTAAAGGAAATAAATTAAACTATAGTAGTGTAAGTTATACTTACTCTTACACTTTTAAATAACTAAATTAAACATTTTTTTAAAATTATTTATTAGATTAAAAGTTTAATCATATAAATTACATATATAAAATCTGAAATCGATTTAAAATTGTTTGATATCTTATTTATATGCATGAAATTTAATGTAATATATACATTTAAAATATATGAAAATAAATATTCTTTTAATTTTATTTTTTAGTTATTCAATTTTAAGAAAATATCACGCAAATAATATAAATAATATATAATTATAATTAAATAGTTGAGTCGATAAAAAATATTTTTTAATAAGTTATTAATGATATAAGAATTGATGTAATTTACTTCAGTTTAATTTGATATTTTATTGTTTTTAAATATAAAATAATAAATTTTAAAAATCATGTGATCTATGAATTTAAAATTATATTTTTAAAAAAAATTGAATTACACCTGACATGCACATGTAACAAATTGCTATTACCATAATCTAAACTTTATTAGACATTATAGATCATAAGAGAGTCTCTACAAGCAAATGGAGTGCATTGAAGCTGCCAACAACAGTAAAACTACTAACAAGCCAGATAATATTAAAATTGAAGTACAGATGGCTTCCTCCCTTTCGAACCTTAGATCATATTTCATTGCAGACGGGGGTCTAGCAAATTAGATGCAGATGTTGCAGCATGTAGTGGTTTGCTGAGAGGAAATTATGGTCAACGAATCAAAGGTTTTTGCTATAAATATTGGCATGAAAAGTGTTAGTGTTTGAAGTTAGCATGGCTTTTGGGTTTTACATTCATAGAGCTTCATTTGTACTCGAATGTGGTGGGAAGTGTCTCAAAGATCAAGCAAACAACGGTAGTGCACAAGCTCCACAACTATTATAATTTACATGTTTACAGGAGAGGCAAATAAATGTGTTAATGCTTTAGCTAATTTAGGATGTTTACATTCACCTTAAACCCATTCTCTATGATAAACCTCCAGGTAACTCATTTGTTGTCTTTTGAATTGGTAAGAGTTACTGCACTCAAGAATCATTGCTTTGTAATTTGCTTTTGGATTTTTAGCTCCTTTCCCTTTACCTAACAAAAATCCATTGTTACCAACTTCTATTGTTTAATTTTTTTTCCTTCTTTCAGAAATTCTATTGTATGAATTAGAGTCGTACTTGTAGGAAGTGAGACATTCGGTTAACATTTTTTTTTCTCATGAAGAGCTGCATAACTTTTTGTTTTTGAATGTGCGTTTATTTTTCATTTACGAGTGCATTTCATGCATTGCTATAAGATTATTTCCTTTTCTTTTTTCACATTTTCTTCTCTACTTAATTATTATTCTTTAATCCTTTTGGCTTATTGGGTTTCTTCTAAATCCCAATTATTGTTTTTTCTCAAAATGTCAACTTTTTCTAAGTCTGATACACATTGAAAATTAGTTGTCTTCCATTATCCAAAATTAATTTTAAAAATTAAAATCAGTTTTCTCATCTCAAAACAATAGTTTGTAAATTTACCTTTAACATGTAAAAAAATATAATTAAAAAACCCTATTCTAATTAAGTTTTGTATATATATATATATATATATATATATATAGATATATATACACACTAAAATTAAATAATACTATATATCAAGTAAAACAATATCTGTAATAACTTCATTAAAAGTTAATTTTATCAATCAAATTGTTGATTATGGTAATAATTTTGTGAAAATTATAATTTTTTTTACATAATTTAAACATTTGTAAACAGGTAAACTAACAATAATTATTTAATTATATTTAAATAACATATTATCATTTAAAATATATTAAGATAATAAAATATCAATTAATACTTGAATCATGTAAAATTTATAGAATTACAAATCTTTAATTTAATTAATTAGATTGATAAAATTTATTTTAATGAAAAGTTATTGAAAATATCACTTGATCTTATCATTTCAAAATAATTATTTTATTTTTATCTAATAAAACAAATTTTGTAGATTTCTTATTATATTTTTTACAAGCAATTTCAGAATTCTTTAATGCTAATGAGATTTTAAAATATTATAAAATTTTGAAAACTTAATCATATTTATTTTAAATATTATTTCTTGTGAAATTTAATTATATTTTAAAAAATATCTACTTATTATTGGTGATAATTAATTACTTTTTTACACTATTGATTAAATTTATGCTTATTAAAAAAATAATATAAGACAATTATAACACAGCTTTTGCTTTTATGAGCATCATATATTTTCTTTCGGAGTTTTAAAAAAAACATAAGAGAAATTAACACAAATTACGAGTTTTTTAAAGTTTTATAAAAGTTAGCACAATTAAATACTCTTAAATAAAAATTATATTTTTCTTTTTTTTCTTCTAAATTCTAATCCCTCTTGTAGAAGTGTTTTTCAAAAACTTAGTTTAAAAACAATTATATATATATATATATATATATATATATATATATATATATTCAAATTTCATACAAAACATAAAAATTTAATATTCTCAATTTAAAAATTTTGAAAAACTTAAAAATAATTATCCTACTACATACACCTTGAGGGCAAGTGGATATTATCTCACATAATTATTGTATGATTGTAATGTATGAAAATGATTTCTCTAATCATTTGTAGGAGTCATGTTAAGCAATTGGATTGGATATAGGCAGTATAATTATGTATTATAACAGCTATAAAATTAAAAAGTTGGATACAGTTTTAGAAAAGAAAAAAAGGAAAAATGCCAAATTGGATAAAGTAAGCGAATCCGATATGTAAAATAAAGAATAACAAATTAACAAGTTGGATAACGTTTTTGAAAAGAAAAAAAGAAAAAGGAAAAATGCATAAAAGTAAAGGAATGGGACGAGACTCACGAGAGGAAGGGAAAAAGGTAGGAGGTTGTTGTATATTGTACAGAGGCGCATTATAGCAGAATGCGTTGGCGTTAGGGGGTGGAGCCCACTGGCGGTTCAGCGACATGCGGTTCCGGCTCAGGACCTCGTCCTCAATCGGTCCACTCCGCTTCTCGGAAATTTCTTCACCTCTTACCTTTTCCATTTCCACCTCCTTCAATTTCAACACGTCATGCTTCCTTCAACTCTCGGTAATACTTCACCTTCAACTCATTCATTTCCATTCCCTCTCACTAACCTTTTTATTTATTAAGATTTAAGAAACCGTTTCCGTTTTTCTTTTTGCTCACAGCTTGACCAGGTTTCCGATTAGTCGCCGATCTCTTCTTCTGCTCGCGATCAATCTCCGATTGTGGTCTAGGGCACAGAGACAGAGATCACCATGTCCTTGTCGGATTCCGATTCCTCCTCTTATGGCAGTGAATACAAAAATCTCAAACAAGTTAGCCGTGAGCGTAGGTCCCTCTTCCTGATATTATTATCATTATTTTAATTTCATTCCTGATTCGTTTCTCTCATCAATTGCCTTTAAGTTCACAACTCACTCCAAGTATCTATAATCTAGTATGAACTTGTTTTTTTTTTTTTTTCCGCTTTTGGTGCTGTTAGTCAATGCTAAACAGAGTCTGCTCATGGTTGGTTTTCGATTTCTACGGTTTTCTTCACTTTGTCATTGCACTTTTCATCGCATATTGGTTCTGATCTCGGTGAATACAGATGTAATGTCTTTGGCGATTTTTATATTTATTTTTGGTTTGGGAGTGTTATTAGATAAATGACAAAGCATGTGAAGAGAAGCCATCGGCCAGTGTGTTAAAATGCGAATCTCTGTGGCCGTGGCTCCTGTTGGTAATGCTAAACAGCGGATTCGATTGCTTTAAGGGGAAATCTGCAGAAGTTCTACTTTATCGGGATTGGAATCTTCTGGTCCTGAAGCTAAGGAAATTGCTAGATTGACATTCAGCCATTACTGTATTGTATCTGCACTTTCTTTTGACTGGTGATATCACAATGAATATGTTTAAGAATAGACCACTGTACATGAGACTAGTATGCCTTATTATAATATTCATAGATCCCTGGAAATATAGTAGGTTGAAATGATCTGAGATTTATGATGTTAAAAGTAGGAACCATTTGCAACTTCTGCTTTTGAGGAAGTCTACCATCTTTTTGAAGCTCCATTTTCTCTGAAGCCTTAATTGCTGCACTGATCTGACTTGCTTTTGCTTGACTCTTGCTACTTACCTTTTTAAGGGATGAAGTGGTCTTCCTACTTCCTGGTATCCTTATGGTGTGAAGCTCGTGGATGTTTAGAAAACATGTACAGAGACTGACTAGCTTTGGTTGATTTATGCATCTTTCTTGTTTTCTGGATTTTTGCATTTTTTCTTTGTTTATTAGTTGGTTATCTTTTTGTTTGCTATTGTACATCACTTGTTTTCGTCTCTATTTGTATATCTACTTTGTCTCCCGGAAAGAATATAAGGAAATTACAAGATAAATGAAATCACTTCAAATAATTTATAGTTCTTTAAAGAGCTGAGCGATCACTCTGCTATTGTACATGCCATATGGATTTTTTTGCTGTTAATATCAACACCAAACTCAATACAGCACTGTTTTATCCTTCCCAATAGCAGATAGATCAATTGGAAGCTTAAAACATGTTTTGAATTGTTGAAGTGGGTAATGCCTTTGCAAGGATTGCATCTTTTTGCATTTTCGTTTTCTTCCTTTTAACATTTTAATAGTAAATTACTTAAAAGTTAGCCATGATCAATTGTTTTCTGGTCTGATCATTTTATTTAACTTCTGTGTTTGAAAATTTGAAAATTTTCTGCAGGATTATTACATGAAATGCTAAGGTCAGCAAAAACAGGGGACTCAAAATCTACATGGAAGGTATACGATGCCCTTAGTTGAATGAATTCTGCCTCATCTTTTTGAACTTAACATGAATACCGATGAACCCACCCTTCTGTTTGTTTTAGCTTCAATTTGTTGTTTCATTCTAGGAATCTGTGAAAGTTTCACTTTGTGCTACTGATGATTGGACATAGGACAGATTTAACAAATCTTTTCAATATTTTACCTTCTTATGAGAACAGTCAATTGGCTAAATCATTTGTTTGGAGTGCTTGCTTTATTCATTGGATGTATGGCCATGTGTTGCATGTCCAAGTAATTACATGGTATCAAAAACCTTTCATAAGCCTTCACTGAATAAAAAAATCATTTTGGAATAGATGATTCATTACATGGTATTAGAGTCTCGATGACCAAGTGGTTTAGATTATAAATTTTAATCCACAGACACACTTATTTCTCTTTCAGAAAAACTTCTTGGGCTTGAAAATTACTAGAAACTTGATGCTTCCGTTATTTACCATCTTGTATTGGTTCATGAGTTGCTTGTCTGCAGGTACTAATAATGGACAAACTTACTGTAAAGATAATGTCTCACTCCTGCAAAATGGCTGATATCACCGATGAAGGTGTTTCATGTAAGAGTTACAAGATTGATTCTTAAGTAGTAACTTTTTCTTCTATCCACTGTCAGTATAGGACTTTCCATTAATTTTTTATGATTTGGGTTATTCCATGCTTGTTAATTTATTTTCTGATATTCAAATGTAAAGTTTTTTAAACTCCAAAGACTGTAATCTGAATATATGCTACTCAAGATATTTTAAGCAAGTGTGTTTAATTTTGTGTGTTTATTCATTGTTTCTAATACCCTCCTTTTGCCTTCACTTTCCTCCTACCAAAAGTTGAATGAAAAAAATACCTAAAAAGTGAGTTTTAAAAAAAGAACAATCTTGTTTCTTATCTAGCTTGATGCAACTGAAGAATTTTGAGTGTAGTAGTAATGGTGAGACAGGTGGAGTAGTAAATAGATAAGAGGGTAATTACTTGCTCTTGTAGTTGCACCTGTATTGTGGAAAATTTTGACTTATAAATGAAGGAAAATGATTTCATTTTACTCTCTGTCCAACTATGCATAATATCATTCCTTCTTATATAACATTTGAACTCTGGGAAAAATCTGACCCTTCACTTGCTAATTGCTGAAATTTATAGTCATAACTCATTACTCTGAGGTCTTTGATTGACAGGAAGAAACTTATAAGTTATAACTTGGATTGACTGTTATCATCTTATCATTGTCTCTAAGTAACAACTAATTGAGCTGTGAATTCTAGTGAACTAATTCTTTTTGAATTGGGAGTTCTAATGGATGGGTTGTTTTTAGGCATTGATTTTAAGGGTTATGGTTAGAACTCTTAGTGAGAATGGAATAGAAAGAAAAGATGTGAAACAAAAGAAGTATTGAATGGGATTGAGTATTTGAGTTGCCTTCCCCTTTTTGGATAATTAACTAGGCAAGAAAGGATAAGGTAAGTGGTTTTAATTATAAAGTTTCAATGTAACCCTTATAAAAATGTAATTGATTCTATTTATGAGGTAAAATAGTAAATGACAAGTTTTAAAATAAAGCAAAGATATTCGTATTCCCCCTTGTTTCATGCCCACTTAAGGGTAGTTTAGAGGATCCCTTCATTCCACTCCTCCTCATAAATTTTTTAACTTCTAAACAAGGGGGATTATTTCCTTTTCATTCTTTCTTCTTCCATTCAACATTAACTGTTAGCTGGTTTTAAGATTTGATGCAAGTTTTGTGCCTTTAGAAATTTAATTATAACATTGATATATTCACACTTATTTGTTAAACTTATAGCTTTTGCTTTAATCATACGTCTTTGTTAAGCTACAAGTTTTAATATACTCTAATCATTCCTTTAAAAAAATAATTTTCTGTATTAGCAACGTTGGAATTGATTAATATGAATATATGAAAATAGACACAAATTATTTAGTAAACACCTGTATTTTCCTCAACTTGTTCTATTTCGTGTATGGTGTGAGATTTTGTTTTGTTTTTGTAGTGGTTGAAGACATATACAAGCGAAGGCAGCCACTGCCGACCATGGATGCTATATACTTCATCCAGCCAACCAAAGAGAAGTATATATCCTCTCTCTCATGTTTGTGATGTATTTAATGAATTGTCTTAAATTAACATGAGATTGCTTATGGACTACTGAGGCTGATTTTCTTGTGGTCTGTGTCGTGGTTGCTTTTTGCATGATTCTGTTAGCTCTAGAAGAAAATTGAACTTGCTCATGTTGAAGATTATTGTTTGGCAGCATGTCAAAAATACTTGTGGTGAGAAAGACTAAGAATATTGATGCTGCCCAAGAAAACAAAAGGAGAGATTTTGTTGCTGATAGTTTTCAGTTATAGCATTGTTGTTTTGAAACTGTTAAAATAATTTAATTTCATTGTTCATGACTCCTGTTTATTTGTCTGGTTGTTTAGTATGTACATTTTCAAGTTTGTTGTGAAGTATGTCATTATGCCCATATACATGCAGTATAGAAATAATTTTGGGAGTATAATGCTTGAAAATAAAATCATAGTTGTTGTAGGGTTTTGAATTTAATATTTATAATTTCTTTTAACTTTTATTCTTTGATCTTCTATATTCTCTACCAATTAATTTCCTTTTTTATTTTTATTTTTTATGAATCTGATTCTTTGTTTAATTTCCTCCATGTTTACTACTCAGCATTTCATAAATTATTCTGTGTTTTTTTAATTTTTTTACTGGATTTCTTTAATTATACAAAATGTATCATGACACTAACTATTTTATTGTCATTCTCTCGAACACTTTGTTTCTCTCTCCCTTCTAATAATGCACATATCATGTAAATTATTGAATGGTAAATATTCTGGACTTTTGTGGATGTAAAATTAGTTCCATATCTAATGATTATATAGAACTTTGATAGGGTTTTAAAGAATTGTTCCATATCTAATGATTTTCCTTCTTCATTTCTGTTGGCAGTATAATTATGTTTTTGTCAGACATGTCTGGAAGGAAACCCTTATACAGGAAGTGGGTGATTTTATATTATCTCCTGTGAGATGAGTTCAAGTTCATCTTGATTTCCACTTATTGGTTTTCAAGCCTGTTTTATTCTTTGCTTTTGTAGGGCATTTGTTTTCTTTAGTTCATCAATTGCCAGAGAATTGGTAATGGACATTAAAAAAGATGCACAGGTATTGCCTCGTATAGGTGCTCTGAAAGAGGTGAGGATTTTTTATTTATGATCTGCATGTAAATTGAATTTTCCCCCTAAACAGTTTCACATTTTCTTCTTGTGACTTTTTCCCTCATTTGAATGCAGATGAACTTGGAATATTTTACCATAGACAGTCAGGTCCGTGGTTGTATTTTATTTCATTTGTTGATCATCATAAACTCATCTCTTTTCATATGATACTTTCCTTTTGTTTCATTACTTAGTAAGTTTCAAAATTTATGACATGTAAAAGTGCACCTTGTGTTTGTCCAGTTCCACATAGCCATGAATGAGTTAAGTGATAGATCGTGATGTTTTTCCAGTAAACTAATTAGAATTCGTCAACTGTTGAAGAAAATCTTATTTACATACAGTGTTTGTTCTTCAGAATGCTGTATAAACTGAATAAACAAACTCTTCTTGTGGCTGGATCTTATAGATACCTGACAAGTACTAAATTAAAGTTTTATCAGAGAAGAGAATCATGGAACAACCATGAAATATGTGAATTGAACATCCTATAATGTCTGCAAGTTGGGAATTTTAATCATTCATGAAACCTGTTTTCTGTGGTTCTTTCCTTTGATGAAAATTTATCAAACTTCAAATCTGGTCATTAGGATTTCTTTGTTAGTATCTAATCTCATCATCATCCCATTATTTGGTGTCCTCATTCTTGTGGTGTTTTGTCATGATAATGTAGGGTTTCATTACAAACAATGAGAGAGCTTTAGAGGACCTATTTGGGGATGAGGAGAATAATCGTAAAGCTGTTGCATGTTTAAATGTGATGGCTACTCGGATTGCTACAGTTTTTGCATCATTAAGAGTATGTAGTCAATGCTTTGCTCTTTGTGATACAAATTCAAAGCTTGCAGTCTATGTTTATTGTTCCAAAAAATGATTGAGAAATCTTCTGAATCATGTAAATATTCTTATAGGAATTTCCTCTTGTTCGCTTTCGTGCTGCCAAGTCCCTAGATGCAACCACAATGACTACTTTCCATGATCTTATTCCTACAAAACTTGCTGCTGGTGTCTGGGACTGTCTTATGAAATATAAAAAAACTATACCTAATTTTCCTCAGACTGAGACCTGCGAGTTGCTCATCATTGATAGAACTGTTGATCAGGTTTCTTATCTCTATTTGCCAGTCAGAGACTTGTAATATTATTTCAATAAGCTGTATCATTTTGTTTACAATGAGGATGCTATTCTGGATATGTAGATTGCTCCTGTGATACATGAATGGACATATGATGCCATGTGCCGTGATTTGTTGAATATGGAGGGAAATAAATATGTTCATGAGGTATTCTACAATTTCTTTTACCCCCTCTAAATCGTTGTGTTCTCTTTCTTGTTATGAACACAAATCTATGGTATTCTTAAGGTTCCTAGCAAGACTGGTGGTCAACCTGAGAGAAAAGAGGTTCTCTTGGAGGATCATGATCCTATATGGCTTGAACTCCGTCATGCACATATTGCAGATGTATGTCCCACTTTTACTATTTGGTGTTTATTGTTAAGACCTTAGAGCCTACTATTTGGGGTCATCTCTTCTATCTAACAATTGAGCAACATGAACCTTTGGATATTGATGGCTCTGACAGGCTAGTGAACGGTTGCATGAGAAGATGACCAGCTTTGTTTCAAAGAACAAAGCTGCACAAATCCAACATGGTTCAAGGTAAGTCTTAGTTTGTGGTTGTGGTTTGTTGATGACGTTGTGATCTAAAGGATATTGGTTCTGAACTATTGTAGTTATTTTGTAATCAATATTCAAAATAAAAATTTGTTTAAATTTGTAATTCTTATCAAAAGCTCTTATGGCTTGAAAAGATATGGAATTTTTTTAGTTTTTGATGCTCAGCTCTATGTCTAGCCATTTCAGAAATTCTTCTTCTTTGTGTGCTTGTGTGCAAGCATGCGGGGGCACATGCGTGGTGTGTTGATTACTGCCATTAAATATTTTAGTCAGTTGTCAGTTTCAGATTGCTACTTACCACCCCAGGCTACTGCAAATGACATATTTGGATGTCATTTCACAATGATATCTGCACCGTATAAATTTGTAATTTGACCATTTTCAATTTGTTTGGCTTCCCTTCTAAATAATCCTATGCTTCTTTAACATCATGGAGTGAAGTTCCAACAGAACTACCTTTGTCACTTCTTGAACATCCCTTTGAGCATTCATTCCCTTTCTATTTTTTGTTTGTGTTAATTTTTAATTTTACACTCAAGAGTGGTTTTACCCAACATTAGGAATATGTATTGTGCATGGCTGACTTTCAAAGTTGAAAAGTATTATGGGCAACTGACAAAACTCAACAAATAATTTTCACTTTTCTCATGTATAGTTTTACAAAAGCACATTTGTACCATTTAGCATTTTTCTTATATATATTTTTTCTATTAACATACCCCCTCATGCAAGAGCTCTTTGGGCAAAACCGGTGGAGTGTGGACAATCTATAGGCCCTCTTGACCACTTGGTCAAAGGACCAATTCTCTTAAAAGCTTGTATATACTGTTGTATAAAATGATCATGTCCTTGATTTGGAAAAATAAACAAGAAGCATGTTTATTTTCTTGTTGAAATAGTTTGTCCTAAAATTTAATTAAGCCTAGATCTGTGAGTGATGGAAATGTTTATTCATTATCTAGTTGCTGTTATCATAAACTTCTCACAACCTTGCATTTCATTTATAGAAGTGGCAGTGGTGAAATGTCAACGAGGGACTTACAGAAGATGGTTCAAGCACTTCCACAATACAGTGAACAAATTGACAAACTCTCCCTCCATGTAGAGGTTAGTTCTTTTATAATGCAAGATGCCCTAAAATAAATGTAATTGTTGTATGATATAATTTGTTAAAAAAGTGCTATTTCCACTTGGAAACTGTGCAAGATACCTTCTATGGGGTGTTAAGGTACTCAATGAAAATTCTTATTGTATTCTCTGGTACTGCATTTTAATTGGATGTAGATTAATTAGTTGGACATTTATTTGAGTTTTGTTTTTGCCCTTATTACCACCTTCTCCCTGTTAAAGAAAGAGGAAGAAGACTTGACAAGATTCTTGCTGATTGTGACTGAATGAATAACTTTTGCACTAAAGTTTATCTGATATTTCTGAAAATTAGTTCTTTCTTCACCAAGTGACATTAGGGTATTGATTTGTAATTTATTACAATAGTGGAGCAGATTATTGTTAAATATATGTATATAGTAATAGTGATAGAAATTTATCTTTGTAATTATCTTAAATATTCTATAATTATTATGATTATCAATATAAATATATGTTCTATTATGTAGTTGAAACACGTGGATTCATGTATATGTTCTCTCGCTTTTCTCTCTTTCAACAATTATGGTCACGAGGTTTCATATGTAAAGATGAGCTTCTTTGTCCAGATTGCAGGAAAAATTAATAGAATCATTAGGGAATCAGGACTAAGGGAACTTGGGCAGCTGGAGCAAGATCTTGTTTTTGGAGATGCAGGAATGAAAGATGTGATCAAATTTTTGACTACAAAAGAAGTAAGTTATTCTAAGATGGGACACGAAGAGGGTGTACATTTGATAGACAGCTGGAATCCAAAAGTCAAAGTATTGGTCTAATCTAATAATTTTCCCAGAGAAAGAATCTCACTCCAAGAGAAATTAATAGCCGATGGAGAATCTCCAAGGAATAAAAGCTTTTCTGAAATTTTTTTATAATTGCTAAAAATGACAAGGAACATATATCAATAGAAGGTTACAACCTGACTTCCTAAAAATTGACTAACTGACTCTGAAAACCAGGACTGGTGGGCCTGTGTCATAATTATTTTAATTTAAAAATAACTGCGATAAAGCACTTAACCACTGCAAAGCACTAAGCTTGACAAAGTGGTCACACTACGTGACATACTCCATAGACCCCTATTGAATTGAAACAAATGACATAATGCATGAAAGAATAGTTTCTGCTGATAAAAACTGAAAATAAAGTGCTGTTATGGTTTGACTTTGACCCACGTGCCCTTTTGATGATATGTATTAGAGGTTTATCAACATTTTTACCTAGTTAGCGGATGAATAAAAAGAAAGCCTTTTATTGCTAAAAATGCTCATGAAATGATAAATAAAACTTTTGCCTTTTCGTTTGTTACAATTCATTTAAGTACTATTTTTATGCAGGATACAACTCGTGAAAATAAGTTGCGCTTGTTAATGATTCTTGCAGCCATATATCCTGAGAAATTTGAGGGTGAAAAGGGTCTGAACTTGATGAAGGTGTAGTTCCTTAGACTTGGTGTCAGCTAAATTGCTGCTTGCTGTTCATTTAATATCTCAAAGAATAAATACTGTTATTAATCTGTTTCCTAACACCTGGAATGGTGCTATGCACTATTTTTCAAACATTTCAAATGCTTTTCAGGTAGCTAGGTTGACAAATGAGGATGCGATTGCCATAAATAATCTGAGAATGCTTGGGGGAGAACCTGAAACTAAAAAACACTCAACCGGTGCTTTTCCTCTTAAGTTTGATATGCACAAGGTAAAGATAGTTTATAGTTTTATATGATTTTTCAGTGTTATGTTAGATCTGAGAAGTGATTCATTAAATTGTCAGAAAAAGCGTGCAGCAAGGAAAGATCGTACTGGTGAAGCAGAGACATGGCAGCTGTCACGTTTTTATCCCATAATAGAGGTATAAATTAAGTTAATAATATTTTCCTACATAACTATATATTAATTTTTATGAAAGTTTCATGGGGATGATGTAAGGCTACTGTTGAACAATCCATTTTTGGTATTTAATTATGAACTGTGCATGATAGATGAGCTTTTGATTTTTTTTTCTAGTTTTCTGAAGAATCAGATGTAGTTGGTTGTTTGAATATTCCTTCAAATCATGTTGTAAATATGCTGGTTAACAGAGTAGGGCAATCAACTGGTGGTTATTTGCTGCTTGTTTGGAAGAATTTATGGACAGCTTATAGAAAGAGCATATGACTGACATAATCTCTTTTTAACTTATTTCAATAAGTTTCTTGGTTTAATTTATCGAAAGAAGTTGTTTTTAGCTTATTTCAATAAATTTTATGGTTTGATTTATGACATAAGCCATTATTTAAGAAAAGCTTATTGAATAAATACTTAATGAAGCTGTGTATTCAAACACACCCATCTCTTTTAGTCTCATTGTAATTATTAAGAGAATACAGGACACTATATTTCTGTATCATGACATTTATAATTTATAATATTATCTTTATGATGATTTGCTCGGTTGTTTATAAAGATTTTAGAGCCTCATATATGGTGATTGGATGGTCCATAATTCAGGAACTCATCGAAAAAGTTAGCAAAAATGAATTATCAAAAGAAGACTATCCATGTCTAAATGACCCTAGTCCAACTTTCCATGGTACACCTTATGCTGGATCAGTAACTCAAAATCCTCCTGCTCAATCAATGAGATCAAGGCGCACAACAAATTGGGCTCGACCTAGAGGCTCTGATGATGGATATTCAAGGTTTTACTTTCTTTCCTCCCCAATACAAGTCGGTAATATGATGATTGCTTCTAATAACTTATTTTTTAACTTCATTCATGAAGCCTGTTCTCTTCCCTCTTTCCTGCCACCTTATTATTCTTCCTAACTTTGTGAGTTGAGTACTTGTGTATCCTTGCATGAGCTTGCTGTTATGTAGATAATTTGTTGGAATTGCAAACTAGGACCTGCCATTCCAAAGCTTACGTTTAATCTTTATCTTTTTCTGCTGGCATATAGTGATTCGGTGCTTAGACACGCATCCAGTGATTTCAAGAAGATGGGGCAGCGAATATTTATTTTTATTGTTGGTGGAGCAACCAGATCTGAGGTCTGAATAATATTTTGATAAGATGTTGCTATGTTTACTTTTTCCCTTCTGGGTTTTCTGGTCTGATACCTTGTTTTAATAATCATCAGCTTAGGATTTGCCACAAGCTTACTGGTAAACTGAAGAGGGAAGTTATTCTGGGCTCGTCAAGTCTTGATGATCCTGCACAATATATTACGGTATTGAAGTGTTTACCTTTTCTCAAGGTCAAACGTGTTCCTTAAATTGCAATTTGCCATAACCGTCCTTGCATACTGTTTTTTGTCTATTGTAGAAGTTGAAGATGCTAACAGCACAGGAACTTTCATTGGATGATCTTCAGATATGATGTTACGGACTTGAAAACTGGAAGATCATCTTCTGCTTGTCAAATATACGTGTTGTAACCATATTGTTTATTCATCTCATGAACATTCTTTGGACATTTGACCTGTGGTACGGCCGAGCCATTGAATGTCAAATTGTGCATATGGTAGGAACTTTTCGTTGTTAGAAACATTTTTTCAAAAAAAATTCTGGTAAAGGGTATTCATTTGAATAACACTGTTTCATTAAAGCCGTTTTTCTTTTGCAATGACACACTGATACTTAAGCTAGGTGGTAGATGAGTGCGTGGATTTGGAAGTGTTTCTTCGAGATTATATAAATAAATATGACGTCAGTTTGTTGGAGTTTGGGGGTTGGTTTGCAGCTTAGAACACATCTCAATTACACTATCTTCACTATCACTGTCGGTACATGACATTAATGTGGCAAATAAAATGTTATTTAATGGAATGAAAAATATATGAAAAAGATTAAAGATCTTATACCGTTGAATGTTTAATGATGAAATATAAGTTTAATTTTTGACGGAAGTTTTGGTGAAAGGAAATAAAATAATAAGATGTATAAATTGTACATTCTCATACTTTCATCATCTTAAATACATGAAATCTCGATTAATTCAAATTTGTTTCAACTGGCTCAAATTTCTATTTTTGTTATTTTTAATCTCAATGAAAGGTGAAGATGAATTGTTAGTTAATGACTTAATATAGAAAATTAATTGAAAGGTCTACTAAATTTACACGAGGATTAAGGAGTAATTAAAACAAAATGATGTTTAAGCTATTTTATTAGTAAATAAATAAAATAAAGTTTTTATAATCTGTATAATTTTTTCCATTTTAAAAAAATTAAGTTGAAATTAAATATACGTAAAATATAATTTTAATCGTATTAGCAAATTTTAGGATAAGCATTAAAAGAGATATTTAAATTCCTTCTATTAGTAAACAATTGCGTACATATGTAAAATATGATTGATCAAAATATCTCTTTGATGTTTTTTTTTACAACTTTATTATTATAAATATCTTTTATTAATTCTGAAATAAAAAATTTGTTCCTTCTTTCTTTTCTTTTTCCTTTCAATACTTACTTTTAAAACATGTAGAACACAAAGTTCACAAGCCGACCTTAGCTCAGTTGGTAGAGCGGAGGACTGTAGTGGGAATATCTCAAAGTAATCCTTAGGTCGCTGGTTCGAATCCGGCAGGTCGGATTCTATTTTTGATTGATTGTCAATAATATATGAATGCATATGCTTTTTACTTATAATATAGTTCAATGGACTTTTTTACCATAATAAAATAAAATTAAAATTACACAAATGTCTTTTTAGCATTTAAAAGAAGACGATTTAAATTATTTTTTTTTAAAAATGAAAAATAATTTGAATCGATTTTAATTTGTTGTGCATATTTATTTCTATAAAAGTCGATTTTAATCGATTGTAGTTGTTTTTTTTTTTCTGTGTAAAGGTCGATTTAAATTGACTTGAAAAGAAAGACGTGCTGCCTATCCGCCATGATCTTGGAAGGAAAAAACATCTTTGAGAAGAATCAGCAAAAAAAAAAAAAAAGAAAAAAAATACAGTGCAACTACAATAGAGATGAGTAATAATTTAAATTGACTTAATTTTGTTAATCATATTACAAGTAAACTGTCGTGTAAATGTTTAAAAAAATTATTTAATTTTATTTAGATTTTTTAATTTAATCTATCATTAAATATTTAGTTGTCTAATTAAAATGATTGTTACATATATTGTATAAACGTTTGTTACATATTTAATAGTGTAGGTTACATAACTGTTAGTGTATTTTATATTAGGATTTTTACTATTTATTACAATAAATTAAACAATTATAATTTTAGGCAAGTAAACATTTAAACTGTAATTTAGTGAATTAGAATAAATTTAAATTTAATGAGTGTTAATTATATTTCAAAAGTTTTAATTATTAATTCGTATTGTAGTAATTTGTTTATTTATTTTAATGGACTTTATACATTTAAATAATGTTAATTAAATCCACCTTTCGTGTCAAATGTTGATGTTATGACTTGGTTACAATTATATTTTTATAAAAGAATCTATTTACATCAATGTCAAATTTATTAAAAATAATTATTTAAAATTTGACATACTTATATTTAGGTGTGTGGCTATGTGTTGTGGACCTGATATCTAAATTTTTTTTATAGGTACTTTATTCAAAAAATTTATACCAATAAAAATAAAATACATAATAAATAACAAAAAGTATTATTATATATAATTTATTTAAAATTATATTATTTACTATACGATCCTATTATATATATATATATATTGTATATTAATTTTTATTATTATTATTTTATCATTTTTTTATAAAATTTTAGTTTCAAATAAGAAAAAAAAAATTAAACATAATATGTTAATATAATAATTAAATAATTAAATATTATTAATAATAAAATTAAGAATATAAAAATATATATATTAATATAATATTATTATTTTATTTCGTTTAGTTTTGATTAAGTCTTGTTCATGTTCAAAGACTTAACTATTCTTTAACTTGTTTAAATGTAACAAATATAATAATCTATTATTAAATAAATTTATTTTTTTAAAAGTATAATCGTGTATAAATATTTTTAATTTTTATAAAATATAATTTTTATTTAATATAATTATAAATAAAAAATTATAATATAATATATTAATAATAATAGATAAAAAATATAAAAAAAATATTATTAAATAACTTTATTATTTAAACATGTTTTGACAAATGTTATTTTTAAATATATATATATATACCAACTTATCAGACTTAACAAGCTTTGTAAATAGCTTAGGCGTGACTTGTTTATCTAAACCTTATTTGTTTATTAAAAGGTCAGGTCAGACCATAGGCCTCTGTCATTAAAGTTAATTCAAGTCAATTTATCTTACACTGAAGTCGATTCAAGTTAACTTTCGCTTTGCACTAAAATCAATTTAAGTTTACTTCCTCTTTACACTAAAGTCGACTTTCTTTCTACACTAAAGTCGATTAATCGATTTAAATCGTTTTTCATTTTCAAAAGAAATCAATTTAAATCATCTTCTTTTAAATGTTAAATAAGATATTTGTGCAATTCTTTTTATTATAGGACATTTATGTAATTTTGACTTGATTTTATTTTATTATGGTAAAAAAGCCTAAAAAATGTTTTGTCAACGACATTTTCTTTTCGCCATGATCTTTCTCCTCTGAAAATTTGCAAGGAACTGACCTAAATACAAAATAATCCTATAATTATTTGCAAATATTTCTTCTTTTTTCAGGATCTCCAACAGTGAGAAACTTTACCTTACTGATACCATATTCTTTTGCCTTCCTTTTTCTACTTCTCAGTTCACCTATAAATTAATTGGTGTATGCAATTTATCTTTCAAAATTAGTTATTCTTGAGTCCTTCCTATGTCGAAATTTCCCAAATATGAGTCGCTCTCACATACCATGAAATATATTACACACACACAAAAGACGAATGCTAGAGAAAAAAAAAAATCCTACTTTTATCTTTAGAATCTCTTGCAACAACCAGTTCTTCATCCAAAGAGAAATGTTCTTAATTAGTTTAATAGACTGAACTCAGCTACTTTTTGTTAAGACATTGGGCGTTCTGAAGGTATGCAATTATTTAGAGAACCAAATGCTAGTATTAGGAAAAACATCAATTCAAATTACATCGTACCAACTACATCAATTTAGGCAAACTTGACCATGTACCCCACATATTTGACCACATGCAGCCAACATAGCCATTTCAATCCTCTCATCTTTCATATTACAGTCAAAAGTCATTAGGAGAAATTGCTGCATCATTTAAACAAATAAATTTTCTCTATATTGCTCAATGGTAATCAGATTGCCTTATCATTTAAATGCATGGATATCCAAGTGTTGCTTCAGATTTCTGTCACATGTGTATCTTCTTTTCCCAATACATTTTGTTCATCAAATTTTCTAATTGAAGAAACAAACATTAACAGGAGATGCTGTGCATATCAACTACGATATTGTGCAGATTACAGAAGATTATAATTCACCAAATAATGGAAATAAAATAATAATAAAATATTTTCGGAGATCTGAAAGTTGCCAAGCCATCTAGGTTCATTTCTCTTTCGGAAATGCTGTAGATTCCTGAGATTTAATTAACATGCGCCAGTGCATGTAGGGAATGGAAGTTTGGTGTGTATGATAACCAAGCTTGTAAACAAGAAAAATACTGGCAACATACTACTTGTTTGGACACACTCTTCTAGTAATTGATCAGTTTTTTAAAAATATCAAAGCATTTATTTCATATGATCATCTTTTAAAAATTACTTTGACTGCTTAAAAATTTATCCGATTATAAAAAGTGTGTTTCAAAAGTCTATAGTTAACACTCTTAAAATAGTATATAGAGTTAATGAAAATAATTTATCAAAATAAATTCATTTAAACTTACAAGAAGCATCTTTTAAAAATTTATGACATAAGTGTTAACGTCATTAATAGTTAACAAATACTTAATTGAATTGTTTGTCTAAAATTGCAACGGAAAAAGTGACCGACTATTTCATGGGTGAGAGAATTGAGCATGCAATAAAAGGATTGGAGAGAAAAAGAGAAATAGATGAATTGTAGGAGCGAGCTGGAAAAGAATCTTCTGACATTATCCCTCTGTTTAAAGAATGGGCTAAGATCAATCCTGAATCCCCAGAAGACTTAGAGTGAGTCCCATAAAGGAAATGGAGGACGAGGAATATGCTTTTCGTATTGGGCCTCACTCTGTTAATTAAATTGGGTTAGTAATTTAAATATTAATCACATTTTTAACCATATTGATTTACCCAATTATGCAGTCTTATTCACTGTGTTGTTGGCTGTGACGCGTTTTTAGGTTTGGCTCCACACAATATCAATCCACCATTACGGACTTAACCATATAGATACGGACATGGACATGGACATGGACATGGACATGGACATGGACACGGACACGGATATATGAGTATATCTCTCGTTGGTCCTAAAAGTAAAAAGGATGTAGGAAACATTAAACAATGATCATTCTCGTCAAGTCGAAACCATATAACGTATAAACCCACAGATCAATCCCTTTCTGTTATTTTCTGTGGATGGGATGGCCCGTTTGACGAGTGGATAAATTCAAAGCTTTAAACATCTATGGCATATGTGGACCAAAAAAAACAACTATGGCATATGTTTGTTGAATAAAAAATGATAATTAAATGAATTATATATTATGATGTTTGATGCATACTAAAATAATATATTAGATATATTACATTATCTT